CTCAGAACGGTGTTACACTCTCATATCTGTACTACCTACTCAAATTGTGAAATTCAGAATTAAGTAGCACTTCAAATTGGGTTTTAATTTATGAAACCATCTAAATTGTTACGTTGACGGAATCCGCTCTTCAGAGTCACATAACTAAAACATGGCTGCCTCTGCCTCGCACATGAAAACGAATAAAACGTGACTTGGAAGGCTATGAATCAAACATCGGTAACATTTGCGCGATGACCTAAGGAAAACGCGTTCGTAAATACCTTACTCAAAAACCTAACTTTTCTAATATTTAATCATTCTTCCATGCTATGAGTCTAAATTCCACTATATTTGACGCACGTCTTTTTTTCAGATCCTCCTCGAAAATTTCGTATTCTTCCTTAGCCTTCCAATGGATCCCCCAAGTCTCTCTTAAGCACGTTCACCCCCATTTCCCAAGAGCATGTTCAAAAGCCCATAGCTATTAAAAAGGATTGAGCGAGCATTAACTTATCTTGGTAAGGCTTAAAAGATATCAAAATAAAGTAATGTAGTAAATCAATGTGACTAAGCCAAAAAATGTCGTCTAGAAATTGACCACCTTCATGCGAAGTTGTGCAGACCTACATTCTTTCAAAGGCTGATAAGCAATTAAAATCTGTCCAAAATACACCGTCACCTAAGAAAAGAATCAGACTGAAAAAAGAGCTAGTAATCTCCCTCGACCTCCTCGGCAAATGCGCAAATGCCATTTTTTGGTGCGACTTGACGTTTTGGTTTAGTGGGTTTAAAAGCACTATAAGAAAACTATGCTGGAGTTCTCCCCCCCCTCCCCCTCCCGTCATTCCTGGCTGCTTTGTCATGCCCTCGGTTGCACAACGAGGGTAGTGTCTACGAACATGTCTTGGCAACCAAAAATGGAATACAAATAGGGTTTGTTTGCTTAAAAGTCTGTTTTTTTTTTAATTTGGCAGTTCAAAGATCTCAAAATAAAGGCCGAGCGTAGAGCAAAGTTGCTGCATCATGTAATGTCGGAGTTCAATGCCATGACAAAGGAGTACGAAATCTTAAAGACGGAGGCCACCACTTTGCAGGAGAAGAACAATGAGATGTACGACCATATCGTCGACCAGGACACGAGAATAGACCAGTTGGAGCAAAACGTTCAAGTGCTTGAGGCAGAGAACAATGAGCTGAGGCGAAGTCGCATTATCGACGCCTCAACAAAGCAGTAAGTCAAACCTCAGATCACTCCCTGCTGTCAGCATGCCATTCAACTGTATTGCAGGTAGAAAACCCACAGAATTGCGCCAGCGGACATGCTTTTGCACACAATTTCATTGTTTGCATAAATTTTACTTCATTCAAATCTTGAAAG